TCCTTCCTTCCTTCCTTCCTTCCTTCCTTCCTTCCTTCCTTCCTTCCCTCCTTCCTTCCTTCCTTCCTTCCCTCCTTCCTTCCTTCCACCCACCCACATATTAATATAAGTAATTATTAATAATAATAATAATATAATAATAATAATAATAATAATAATAATAAAAAAATAATAATATTATTAATATAATGGTTTTCAGAAATGCACCCACAGAGTTGTGAAAAATGTGCGTACGCACTACGGATGAGAGCAGTCAAACACTTTTTTGCGTCAGTAGAAGAACAATAACAATGTTGGATAGTGCAGTGCTGTTTGTGCTAATCACTCTTTTTCAACATGTAGGACAAACCCACCTTCATCCTTGGTCCAAAATAATATTTTTGTATTTACCATTTTGGATATACCGGTCTTCACATTCAAAGCTGAATTGTCTGCACTGATATGCATCTTGTTGAAATCCAAAAGTCACAGCGCCAACTAGTGACCTAGCTTGGAAACTACAGTGAATTCAATGAGCACAGCAAGATCAGCGTCAACATGATTTTTCCACATAGATATTTAACAATCAACATTGGAAACACACTAACATCTTCTAAGATAATTTAGAGCTACTCTGTTAAAATGTTGTTTGTAAGTTGTTGAGAATCACCTCCAAATGATGCATCTGTTTTCAAACTCTTGCCATTAACTATTAGTTTAAATTATGCCTGTCTGTTAACAAAATATTTCATGAACCACCCGGTGGAGTTTAATTAATGTTTTTTTTTATTTTATTTAAAATCATGCATGTCTACAGTTGACTGACATTTGCACTCAACAGTGCTAAAAGTTCCCCAACATAAATACATATATATATATATATGGCTGTAATTCGGCCTGTTTTGTGGTTATTAAATTCAATGTTGATGTGGTTGTAGTAGATGAGTCGTTAGCAACACAAATGCTATTATTAATGCTAAGTTCTTGCAATATCACATGAGATTTTTGTGTACAAGGTTCATCCATCCTTTATCATTGACTAGCTTAGTTTTAAATGTCGATATAAAAGGCAGCAGATGATATGCAATCCTTCAGTGATTCTAGACCTCTAAGTACTTTACATTTATTTATTTTTAATGTGAAAATCAAGCCATGCAGCTAAAAGTCATATTTTTAGTTTAAACATTAACTCGTTGTTTTACTGCAAACAATGAAATCATATCTGACATGGGAGAGGTTGTCGAGTGATCTGATGTTCTGTTTCCTTCTCCACAGTATGGACCATTCCACATTGCAGAGGATGCTCCGGCGGGCACCACAGTGGCAGCTGTGATGGCGAGGGACGCAGATGTTCGAGGGGGAGACAGCTGGCAGGTTAACTATCGTTTAGAGTCTGGAAATGAGGAGGAGGTCTTTATGCTAGCGACTGACCGGCAGACCAATGAAGTCTCTCTCGTGCTCACAAAGGTGACGTCTTATTTTGCTAACCTGGTTACTTGTTACACATGATCAAATGAAGGCACATATTTTTGTGGCGTGCAGAAATAAACCAAAAACGGTTTGGTTCTTTGGTTTAGAAACAAAGTAAGCAAAAATATTAATTTCGAGAACAATTTTAAGAGCGTTTTAGACAAATTTGTCCTTGCTTTGTGCTCTCTTTGATGTAGAGCATGTAAGAAGAGGTTATACAGAACAAAAGTCACTTATGATGACTGGATTTTACACAGTGTGTGCGTTCAAAACTAAAGAAAATCACAGTCTGTATCAATAAGCCAACACCACAGTCCTACATCCCTCAGATGAAAAACTTGTTCTGATTATAATGAAAAGCTTTAGCCCAATAATGTCTGCTGTCCCCAGGGTGCATCACCCTTCGCCTGCCTCATCTAATCCTGCAGGACGTTTGAGGGATTCATGCTGGACTGAACGTGTGTTTCTGTGTGTTCGCTCTAACGGTCTGCTTTTTGTAAGTGGGCCAGGCAGGAGACAGTCCATTATTTTCAACCTCTCTGTTGGAAAATGGATGAGATTGAACTGTGTGCTACACATGCACATTTGAAATAAAGCAGATGTGGAAAAGCTAAAAATGGATCTTGACGTTCTATTTGAGATAATAAAACACAGGAACTGCTGGGTTTTTTTTTTTTTAGAAATGATGTCATACACTGTCCCTTTGATTGGCTGTGGTTGGAAGTCTTGTATCTCTTCAGCTGCGTGCGTATCACTAAAGGAGATAGATACTGTTGTTTATTTAACTTAACAGGATTAAAACTCAAGCTTAAATATTTCACAAGTGACGACCTGTAGATTTAAAAGCATAGAGTATAAGTGTGAGGTCAGCATTCAAAAGCAGGCTCAATTAATTATGACAATTTACAGTCGGCTCATAAAACAAAGGCATCTGTGAACACAGAGGCCTGAAAACAATGAAGGGTATCTAAGGGCATCTTTATTTAATAAGTGAAAAACTACAGTAGTTTGTCAAGAGGTGTGCTTACTAGAAACCATTTTGGAGCAGGGCTTATGACATAAAAACATAAACCAGTGTAGCAGATTTGTGTTTTGAGGCACTACTTGTTGCATTTATACTCAAGTAACTGGTTCACCATTTGTTCTCACTGTAAAGACGAATCGTCGCCGACTGTTATTATGACTGCAGTCTTTGACTCAGCTAACACTGTAACTGAAGTCGTGGCCATGGCTGTGCCATCAGTGTCAGGAACACTTCAATTACGCTTTTTAATAGTTGTTCACTGTTGCATGAAGGTAGACTGTGGATGCACTGAAGTTACTGCTCTTCTGAAAAAGAACGTAATTAGTTTTTATATCCTCCATCACTGACTGACAGTAGGCTACGCCTGCGTATATCGATCAGACTGTGATTGAGATGCAGCAGCTGCTGAAGTCAGAACAATAACCACAACCACCCACAGCTCAGACCTCCACAGCCGAAGAGAGCAACAGCTGGATGTGTCACAAATCAGCCATTTTAAAAGGAGTAACGAAGACCAAGTAACTTCATCTCGTGTTTAACTTGTAAAGGAGTGAACCAATGTCATTATGAGTCAGACTGAATGAAAATAAGGTGAAGGTTTGAATCTGACAGTTTCTGCTTCCAGCCACAACCGTGCCCTTGGAGGAGAGCGTAGAGGAACCCAGCCTCCAGAACACTGGCACCAAACCGGGGCCAGAGGAGCCCTCTGATGGCTGGCTGCATATGTATATTGGTCCATTGGAAGCATGGAAGTAAAAAAAAAATGCACAAAAAAAAATATATAAATATAAAATATTACCCTGATGCATGCTCAATAATCCAGGTAGAAAAATCTAAAAAAGTTCAATCTGGTCTGGAGGAGGTAGAAAAGAGAGCCTTGACGTCCTTTTCAGGGACACCACCAAGTCATTGGTTCAGGTATGTTGACGACACCTGGGTTAAAATTAAATCTCAGGAAGTCCAACATTTTACTGACCACATCAACTCTGTGGATAAATACATCAAGTTCACACGAGAAGATGTAAAAAATGGCAAGTTGGCTTTCTTGGACTGTGAGGTCTCAGTCTCTGATAGAGGACATTTGCAAACTGAGGTGTACCGCAAACCCACCCACACAGACCAGTATTTGCAGTTTGACTCCCATCACCCTTTGGAGCACAAGTTAGGAGTCATCAAGACTCTGTACCACGGAGCAGACAGCGTCTCCACTAATTCAGGAGCCAGGCAGAAGGAGAAATCCCACACAAGACAGGCTCTAGAGCAATGTGGATATCCTAACTGGGCCTTCCTGAAAGCAGAGAAGAAACCCAAACAGGACTCCAGTCAGCCAACAGGTGAAAAGGAGGAACACAGACCCAGACCAGTGGTCATTCCATATGTTGAGGGAGTATCAGAGAAACTGAGACGTTTATTTTCTAAACATAACGTCCCAGTGGCTTTTAAACCCCAAAATACATTACGGCAAAGACTGGTTCATCCCAAAGATCCAGTCCCCCGGCACAAACAGAGCAATGTTGTGTATGCTGTTCAGTGTCAGGAGGGCTGTGATCAGTCTTACATCGGGGAAACTAAACAGCCACTGGCCAAAAGGATGGCCCAGCACAGAAGATCAACATCATCAGGCCAGGATTCTGCGGTCTACACTCATCTCCAGGCCAGCGGTCACTCTTTCAGGGATGAAGATGTTCACGTCCTGGACAGAGAGGAACGATGGTTTGAGAGAGGAGTAAAGGAGGCCATCTTTGTGAAAAGAAACCGTCCATCGTTAAACAGGGGTGGAGGCCTCCGGGTTCAACTGTCCCCCTCTTACAATGCTGTGATTGCTAGTATCACTCAGCCCTCTGTGAATAGTAAACAGCCATCAGTGTGCTAATGATCCATCGTTAGGCTGATGGTTCTTCTTGACCATGTGATCAGCTGGTTTTGGTTGTCAGCAGCAAACTGGTTGATCCACTCTGAGAAGGTGCTATTTATAAGACTGCGCTGAATACAGCACCTCAGACTGAGGAAGTGTTTCGGATGAAAGACGAAACGTATCTACATTTTTTTGCTTTGTTTTGTTTTTTGTTTTTTTGAAAGTCCAGGGGACCAGATTGAACTTTTTGAGATTAAAAAATACTTTAACTTTCACTCACCAACTCACCATTTTCTAAGTACTTTTGAAAACCAGGTTCCTAGAACCAGTCTCAAAAGTGTTTGTGTCGGGCAATGAAACCTACAAAAACACACAAACAAACAAAAAACAAATCTGAATCTTTAAACTGAATATTGTGGAAAGTAAACTGGCGCTTGTCACGGTTTATAAGAGGTTTGGATCGAGAGCGTAGAATCACACACGTCGCTTGAAGATATAACTTGCATAACTTTTTAAAACAAAAACGCTGATGTGGCAGAAAAAAATACTTACAAGGATAATGAAGAGGAGCTCAAGGAATACAAATAACACAAGGAGGATCGGACTGTGGCACGAAAACCAATAATTGGTGAATAAATCACATTTTGGCATCTGTCACAGATGTTTGCAACAATCTGAAAACTGATTCGAGAAAGAGTAGCAGACATGTAGCAGTGTAATGCACCGATAAATCAATATCAATTTAAAATGATAAAACTTAAACTGGGTTTTCTACACATGGAAGATTTTAGCTGAAAGCTAATCGAATTGAATAGTCTAACTTTATATGTTGCAATTAAGGGATCTATTTATTACAGGAATATCCAACATTAGCTGACAAAAACAGATTATTTTAACAATTCTTCATGATTTTAAATTCAGGGAGCTCCACCTCCACACTCAAGACTTTCTTTGTTTTCACATTTAGCCATGTTACATTAAGTTCAAAACAAAATGTCTTCCCTGTGAGTTTGCTGTATCTAAAAAGAAACTCTGAGTTAAACACAATATATATTATCATGTGTGTTGTTGGTAAAACAGTGACTGAAACGATTGACTTTCGCCTGCAGAGATACAGTCATGCTCTGATGTACTGAAACACACTGAGTCGCTGGTGCGTCACTTCCATCCAACAGCAACAGTCATTTATCCTCCAAGGTTTGCGTTCCTTCTCCCCGGCAACAGGGCTACGTTTGGTATGATGTGAGCTGCATGATGTCAGTCAATGCCAGTTCTTAATGTCGTGTTTTATGGGAAGACAGGCAGGACACATGCAAGGCCTGGTCATGACAGTAAATACAAACATTAAGTCAGAAATCAAAGAATGGCAAGAGTCAAATTCAGGATTTTTATCAAGTGTGTAATAAAAATTCAAATCTTTTTATAAATGCTTATTTGTCTAAAACTGTATGATGAAATATGGTCATTATTTTTTATTTTATTAATACGTCCAGAGTTTCCAGAAATATCCTCCAATTTCAAACATGGATTTATCCAGCTTTCATGAGAGCGCTGTCACGTAACGGCTCCTGACATGCAGCATCATGGAAAATGTTTTATTAGTGACAGGCTGAATCTTGAGCTTTTCCCTGTGACCACAGTGTCTGCTTCATATTAGAAATAGAACAATACTCTGCCAGAAAGTCCAGATTTCTTGGAAGTCAGAGGAAGCAGAGAAAGGCAGGGGAGCTGCACTGTGTCCTCCATCTGCTGGCAGAGATCACATGCTGGATTTCATGGTTTGGTTGTAATTTCATTTATGAAATTTTAGCTGTATCTTTTTAAATTGTGTTCAAAATCTGGATTTAGTGGGGTTTGTAAACAGTTGGGATTTTCTTTTGCCGATTATTCTATATGAAGACCAGATTAGCAAAAAAAAAAAAGAAAAAAAGAAAGAACAATATTCCTCTCAACCAGGTGTTTGCTGTCATCTATGTCGTTTGCAAACCTTTGTGTATGCAACTGAAGAAGGTAATGTCTGTTTTCACAGGTGTTAGACTTTGAGCGCGAAAGCGAGTACATCCTGGTGCTCTGTGCCCAGAACCCAGTTGCTCTGGTCCGTGGCCGATATGGTCCTGCATCCACGGCAACGGTCACCATCTACATTGACGATGTGAACGAGGGTCCGATTCTGTCTCAGAGTCATTATGAGGTGACCGTCAGAGAAGGGGAGGAACCAGGGCGGGTCATTGCCACCATCCGAGGTTACGACCCTGATTCTCACCCAATAAGGTAGTAAACTCAGGGAACTACTGAGATGTGAATGATTGCTAATTTTATAGAGTATTATGTGCTTTTGCAGATATTCTCTTCAAGGGGACACCAAGAAATACTTCTCAATAGGAAAGTATTCTGGTGAACTGAAGACTGTGCAGGCCTTAGATAGAGAGGAAAACAGCACATACACCATGGAGGTCATCGCAGTAGATGGACGTAAGATAACACCAAAATTTTAACTAAAATGTATTATTACAAACTTAAGCATCTACTCTGCTGTATTTCTACTGCAATGATCTTAGGAAACTCCTCCTTATCTGCATCCACGTTGGTGACGGTCCACATCCTGGATGTGAATGACAACAGTCCGGTTCTGGTTGGAGATTACTCCTGGAAGTATCTGTGCACGCCTCGATGGGAGGACCAAGCCCTGGTGCTGGCTTCACGGGACAGCGATGGACCACAGCATGGAGGGAGACTCAATTTCTCACTGCGCAGTGATGACACAGTTCGACTTAATTGGAAACTAACTCCTATTAATGGTGAGGAGAAGACAGTCCAGATGAAAGCAGTCAGCCAGTTGCTCACATTTGCATATTTGATGAGAAGGGATAGCTAAAAAATGCTCTGTCCTTTTTTAGGAGATACCTTAAACTATATTCTACATAAATTTGACAGAATGACTTTGATCAGACTGTTTAAATTAGTTATATTGGTCAAAACTGTCCAGAGGTGGCTCAGTTGGAAGAGTTGTTGCCTCTCAGTGAGAAGGTGTCCAGATTGAATTCATCCTTTCTGAGTGGAGTTCGCATGTTCTCTCCGTGCATACGTGGGTTTTCCACGGGTACTCCAGTTTCCTCCCACAGACCAAAAACATGCATGTTAGGCTGATTGGTAACACTAAATTGGCCCTAGGTGTGAGTGAGAGTGTGAATTTGGCTCATTTGTCTCTATGTGTCCCTGTGATGGACTGGAGACCTGTCCAGGGTGTCCCCCACCTCTCGCATACTGACTGCTGTATATGGGCACCAGTGACCCTTGCAACCCAAAATGGAAGAAGCTGGTCAAGATGATGGATGGATGGATGGATGGATGGATGGATGGATGGATGGAAAGGAAGGAAGGAAGACTGTCCAGAATATAAATTCAATTCACTGACCTGAATGATATTAGGGATTTAAGCATGAACAGATTTCAGATCTGATATGACAAATTTAATAACAGCATTTTGCTCATAATCTCATGTGTGTGGTGGTGGGGGGTGCGTGGGGGTTGTCGTGTTAGTATATATCATGAACCTGTGAATGGAATTTATTGAAACATTCAGGAAGTAATCACTAGGTTGACTTCTGACTGGAGTTAAATCAGAATTCAAAATGGCTGCCACAGCAAAGCAACCTTAGCAAACACAAAATGGCAAAATATCTGAAACTTTTACAGATACTGAGCTAATATTTCATAGCGGCTGAGAGTCATCCACAACCTTTACTCAGAGGGCTAACTAATCAGAAACCACTGGACAGATTTTAATGAAACTTTCAGAAAGTAACTACTGGGTGTACACCTACAACAGATCACTTTTGAGTTAATGGCCGTTGAAACTAAACCATCTATGGAAACATAAAGAAATGTCTTAACAAAGCTACTTTTACAGATATCGAGCTAAAACGTGTTGTGGTTGCAGCTGAGTGTTATCCCCAATACCTAACCTACCATGTTTGATTTAAACCTTGGCATTACCTGTTACAGTCAACCTAGTCCCTCTGTCAACAAAATATCTTTTAAACAACTGGACTTATTTTAATAAAAGTCCCAGAAAGTACAGCTACAATTGATTGACTTTTGCAGTCTGTTCCAATCAAAATGGCCGCCACAACAAAGCAACCTTATCTTACACCAAAATGGCTATAACTTAGTGAATTTTACAGATTTTGACCTGAACTTTGGTGTGGTGGTCACTGACAGTCACGCACAACACATCCTCCAAGCTCTAATAGATCCATCCATCCATCCATCCATTATCTTTACCCGTTTATTCCATTTTGGGTCACGGGGGTCGCTGGTGCCCATGTCCAGCAATCACTGTGCGAGGGGCAGGGTACACCCTGGACGGGTCGCAAGTCCATCACAGGGACACCTAGAGACAAACGAGACAAACAACTATTCACTCTCACTCACACCTAGGGACAATTTAGAGTTACCAATCAGCCTAACATGCATGTTTTTGGTCTGCGGGAGGAAACCGGAGTACCCGGAGAAAACCCACGCATGCACAGAGAGAACATGCAAACTTCACCCAGAAGGCCCCTGGACTGGGGTTTGAACCAGGGACCTTTTCACTGAGAGGCAGCAGCTCTACCAGTTGCGCCACCGTGCTGCCCGCTCTAATAGATCAAGTGAGATATTACAATGTTGCCTGATATTATGCATGATGTCATTTTAAGGTTTAGCTAAAATGGTTATAACTCAAATTCACAATATTTAAGTCTAAAAGTTTGGCAGGAAAGGATGCAGGTGATCCGCATACCATTACAGCAAACTGGAAGCTTTATTATAAGTGCAATAGATCACTTTTTTTTATTATTACTCAAGCAGAAAACAAAGAAGTGGTCAGCGTGAAGGAGAACCCTCGACGGAAACATAATTGGATCTATGATAACAGGATTTTACTGTTTGGAATTGGTGGAAATCTGGATTGTCGACAAATTATGTGGAGAATGTAGCACGCTTGGCAGCACTCAGAACTATGTGGAAACTATATGTAGTGCTGTATCAAGCTGAGCAGGCTGATCCTTATCAGGACTGTGGTGTCAGTGTCCACGAATGGTTGGAAGGAATAAATCCTGGAGTAGCTGTAAGTTCGACTTGGCGTAAGTAATCATATTCGGCTGTTTGGAGTCGCCATGAGAGAATGTACTAGCGAGACTGTTAAGGCAGACATGGAAATTTAAGAGTTCAGCCTGATCCATGTTGATATCTGAATCTGGACCTGGCCTTAGAAGGCGTACTATCTCAATTTTCTCCTTGGATGTTACGGAAACAAAGACGCTCTGTCCCCCACCCACCCCCCCACCCCTTCCCCAAGGTTGTGGACCTGTGTCAGAGCTCAACCGAGAAGGCTGATAAACAAACACCTCTTATCTAAGCAACAGGGGCAGCGCATCTTAGAAGCTACAGCCCCCTGTACACTTCTGTCCATCATTAGGACGGCTGTACGGAAAGTTATTTTGTTGTATTTCCCTGTGCAAGGATAATAAAAGCATTCTGATTCTGATTTATTGATTTGATTAGGTTGTGGTGATGACAGCTTGTTGGACAAGCCTGTGACAGCAAGAACTAATTTTTAAATATGTACAGTACATCAAATGTGCTGAATGTTTTAAATCCTGTTGTCAGAAATAAACTGTCTCACATAAAAACACCCAAAGAAATGTAGCGGTCTGGCTCAGAACATGGGAATATTGCCCTGTTTTGTTTCTGTTTTTTTGTTTTTTAAATTTCTGCATATTTTTTCCAACTTTAAAAAGAAGGTATGATGAAATCACCCTTGTAAACTGTAAGCGTTGGTTTATTCAATTCCAACTATTTCCAGCCGTGACGCGTGTCATTAAGTCATTCAGACAGTTTACCACTTCCCTCTCAGGTTCTGTTTTTTCCTGTTTCTCTTTCACGCTCCTGTTCCTGTTGGTATTGATTGAGCCCAGATGTAATTATATCTTCTGTGTAATTTCTTTGGCGTCACTGCTGGTTTCCTGACAGCTAATGGAGGCTAAAAGAGAACTCTCCCAGAATGCTTTGCACCTGGTCGCAGGCAGTAACATTTGTCCCGTTAAATGTGCACTTGTGTCGGTACGTTTTTTTGCTGCACTGGTTTCTTTGTCACGAAGAGAACGAGTGATGTCATTCATCTGAAGTCCTTTTGGGACTTGACTGACAGCCCTTTCAGCACAGAAACTCAGTCAATGAGACGATGTGTTCTGGTTCCACCTTTGACAAGCATAAAAGAAAGAAATGTTGCACATTGAGTATTCATGTGCCACTTTTGATGAAGCGGTAATGTAAAAAATAAAAATAAATATTGTTGTGTAGCCCTAGAGAATAGTTTCAGAGACACAGGTGGTTCCACATTCAGTTTGCAGGAACAGTCTGTGCAGAAGGGGCTGCAGAGGTTTCAATTCCTTGACTGACAAATGGAACATGAAAGAGCCTTTCAGATAAGGGTTCAAACAGCTCGATAAAACTCTCCTTGCAGGATAGGGTTTGTTCTTACGTCACACAACCAGGCTTGTATTTTAGACCGATTCACAAAGATAAGATAAAAATGAAGAGCTGCTCTGTTTGCAACCTTCATAGTCTCTTGCTCGTGTGTTGCTATGCAGCTTTTGCTTTTGCTGCTTCCTGAATTGAACATGTAAAATATTTTTAAAGCTCTGCATAGCTGGGAATAATGCAAAAAAAAAAAAAAAGAAGTTTATATTTGTATATTCTGATCTATTAATTACAGCTACAGTGCAGCACAGATTTGCCATTGTGCTTCTTGCCATGTAATAAAACGGTTGCCATGACAACCTTTACCTCATCAATCAATCGAAGGTCTTTTTGCTACGGTGTAATGATGTCAAAGGAAAATAATGAACATTAGTGGGAGTTTGTGCTGGGTTTTTTTCAGATACTCACACCAACTTGTCGTTAAACATCCCATACCTGCCGCCCGAGGTCTACATGGTGCCTTTCACCATCTCTGACAGCAGCTCTCCACCCAGAAGCACCTTCATAAACCTGCCAGGTAATAAAGACATTTCTTCTTACAAACTGCAGGGGGGGGTTATTGTATGAAAGTGTTGGAACAATCAATACAAATCAGCGCCTGTGTGCCAGCTCATCCTGGTCCTGCTATTGTTTATTAATGATGTGGCGGAGCTGTACAAATGATTTTTCCAGGCTTGTGATTACACGCCTCTCTTAAGACTGTAATCTGCCCAGCAGAGCCTGCTGACTCTTTTATACAAAACATGAAAAGACAGATAACCTCTTATGTGGAGGTTAGGATGTTGGCTGAAGATTTAAGATGTAGGCGCACAGAGGTTTTTTTTTCTTGTTTGCTTCCAGCCTACTGTCTGTTTTTACTGTTCTTTCTTACACATTGAATGCACACGAAATATAACATTTACCTGCTGTGTTTTAATGAGGAGTAATTACGGTGGCCTTAAGATGTAAATCAACAACTTTTGAAAAAACTAAATTACATTTGAAAAAAACACAACAAAAACACAACATTTGAAAAAACGGAATTACATTAAACCAAATAGAAGTGATTAAAGCGGAAGTGACCAGAATAACGTTTGAAAAAACAGACTCACGGAATTCAAGCTCTAACCCTAACCCTGCCGAGTTTTTCCAGCATCATATCTTATTAAAGCTTGAAGAAAACAGCTCTCCATTTCTACTGGCTAAAGGCTAGCATGCTAACTGTACCTTCTTTGTGTGTGCTAGCCTGCTAAGTGTACCTCCATTGTGTGTGTACTGCACATTGCTCTGTTGTTCTGTTTTATGTTGTTAATGAAGGAAAAAAAATTTTTTTTAAAGACCACTTCCAGTTTGGCTTAATGTAATTCATTTTTTTCAAATGTGATTCCGTTTTTTCTAAATGCGATTCCGTTTTTCCAAATGTGATTCCTTTTTTCAAATGTGATTTCTTTTTCAAATGTGATTCCGTTTATTCAAATGTGATTCCTTTTTTCAAATGCGATTCAGTTTTTTCAATTGTGATTCAGTTTTTTTCAAATGTGATTCCTTTTTTCAAATGTGATTTCTTTTTCAAATGTGATTCCGTTTATTCAAATGTGATTCCTTTATCAAATGTGATTCAATTTTTTCAAATGTGATTCAGTTTTTTCAAATGTGATTCAGTTTTTTCAAATGCGATTCTGTTTTTCCAAATGTGATTCCTTTTTTCAAACGTGATTCCTTTTTTCAAATATGATCAGTTTTTTCAAATGTGATTCAGTTTTTTCAAATGCAAATCCTTTTTTCAAATGTGATTCCATTTATTCAAATGTGATTCTGTTTTTTCAAATGTGATTCAGTTTTTTCAAATGTGGTTCTGTTTTTTTCAAATGTGATTCTGTTTTTTCAAATGTGATTCAGGTTTTTTTTTTTTTTCAAATTTGATTCCGTTTTTTCAAATGTGGTTCTGTTATTCAATTGTGATTCCTTTTTTTCAAAAGTGATTCCTTTTTTCAAATGTGATTCCTTTTTTCAAATGTGATTCCGTTTATTCAAATGTGATTACGTTATTTCAAATGTGATTCAGTTTTTTCTAATGTAATTCTGTTTTTTCAAATGCTGTTCATTTACAACTTAGAAATTTACACCATATTTGTGACTTTGAATTAAAAAAAAAAACATCTGCCCCAAATTTGTCATCCTAAGATTTATTTCCTTAAGATTAACTTTTATACATGTGCTTCCATAATTTTCTGCTGCGTGAACTTAAACATTCCCAAATTGTAAATAATTTTAGTTTCCCCCCTTCACTTCTCCTGTTAGTGACCGTGTGCCCTTGCAACGTCAGAGGGAACTGCAAAATACCAGCCAAGCCGTTGCAGGGCATGCCAACTATTCAGTCTGCAGTGGGGACGCTGCTTGGAACCTTTACAGTCATCGGTAAGCAGAAAACAAGGAAACATTAAAAACTGTTCATCTGTATCACATATTTTAAAGAACAAAAGCTCATTTTTTCTGCTGTTGTTCCAGGAATCATCCTCATCGTTATTTTTGTGAGGCTGTCCTACCAGGACCCCAAACAGGAGAGTAAAACCCACCAGGAGAAAGTTCCCCTAAAGATTTCAGTCTGAATCACATGAGTAGATGAATAATGTTGTTTTATCATCTGCTGTATCTGCACCAATGTAGCTCATTTGCTTTCAGTGTAATGTGAATATTTTAGCTTTTTTTTTTTTTTTTTAATAGAACTGATCATTTGTTTTAGTAAATCTTGTAAATGTGTAGCAGTCGTGTGCTATGGCCATGCCAAAAACAGAAAGGCACACATGTTAGAAAAGAAGTAACTGATTTTAGGAGAGTAAGAATAATCTGACACATAGGGAATTGACCCTTTTTTCTTTAAGGTCATTACTATTTTTATTTTTTCTATTTTTCTCTTGTAGCTGACATTTCACTGTAAAATAATTAGTTTTGAACACAACTAGTAGATGAAATGTGAGGCTCCAGAGATGATCATGATAAACTGCTACACAAACATCATTAAAGAATGCAGAAATTAGAAGAAATGTGCCTGTAAATGCTGTGATTTTATTCAATTTCACATACCAATAAGTTAAACTAATCACCAAATAAACTATAACTTGATCACTGTATTGTATTATGTATGAATTGTTTTAATTGTATTTATTCTGTTTAATGGATATAATAATTTTAATGCAGATTAATGGCTGCTTCCATGTATTTTCCACATTTGAAACTAAAACTCTTAATTTAATGAGCCGTCCCGAAACATGTTATTGCATTAGCGGCGTGCTGCCGTCTCTGTGATTAAGGCTTTTCAGACGATGACCCAGAAGACCTAACGGACCAGCGCTGCTATTTTCAGACTAAAGTGTTGCTATAAATAGTCCAACAACTGAAGGTCCACTGAATGACACTCGACTGCTGGTGTCCAACAAAGCAGTGACCTCTCAATGACGAAAGACCAAGCTATCCAATCTGAATTATTTGTGCAGGCAGTTTATGAAATGAGCTTTGGATAACTGTTCATGTGAGAAAAAAAGATTTGTTGCAGAGTTAGTGCTGGAATGTTCCATCACTGGAAGAACAGATAATTTTTATTAACTGCTGCTTGTTTTAGAAAACAATTAATTTAAACGAGGCAAGATGAACTCTGACAGATTTTAATTGTATTAGTTAAAACATGATCAGACATTTTAATCCAAACTTAGTCCAACTTAAAACTAAGTAAACCTGAATATTTAGTGGGGCAGCTGTGGCTGAGTGGTTAGAGCAGTCGTACTCCAATGCAAGAGTTGGGGGTTCGATTCCACCAGCAGTCACATGCCGAAATGTCCCTGGGCAAGACACTGAACCCCTCATTGCCTCCTATGTGTGTCCCGTTGGTGTATGAATGTGATTTAAAGCTCTGATTAGTCTTTGTAGAGATTGGGTAATGTATGAATGGGTAACTGAGGGCACAGATTGTGTTGTAAAGAGCTTTGAGTATCTTAATGAGATAGAAAAGTGCTACAGTCCATTTACCATAATATAACAAAGGGACATTTCTGTGGAAAAGCAATGTGAACACAAAAAGCTGAATGATATCGGTAACTGACATTTGCTGAAAAATCTAAGACAGCAGTTATAGATAAAAAAGTAGAACATTAGCTACAAAATAATAGAAGCTAAATGCTAAAAACTACAAACAGCAACAAAAACAAGTCTGTTAAAAGCAGCAAAATACCAGCTAAAAGCTAAAATTTGAGTAGCTAAAAGATAAAAGAAGCAAAAGGCTAAGTAAAAACTAAAAATGGCATGAGAAGATATAGATGTGTTGAAGCAGGTTTTGAGGAGAACAATGTTTTTAACAGTATTCAAAGATGTCATTGCATTTCTATGGAGGAAATATTTGTAAATAAAGTTAAACATGTAGAAAAGTGTAAAAGTTGGAAAAATCAAAAGTCATAGCGCCCATCTCGCTGAATGTTTTGTTACGTGAATGGCTGAAATGGAACAAATACAGAAGTTATTAGTCAGCAAACTGACTGTTGTCGCTAAAAGAAATACAGTTACAAAAGTTTTTATCATCCCAGCATGTCCATCAGGAGCTAAAGTTTGGAGAGGACGCAGATGTTAAAACTAGAGAAATTGTATTATACGAAAATGCAGTGTGAATGCTTATTGCTGAAGAACTTGCTGAAAAACAGCTGAAATTAGTGAAAAACATGCTGAATTTTAGCTGAAATTGAAGAACAAGCCTTTATTAGCAGGATAAAACAGAAACAACACATATTTGCTGAATTGGGTTTAAATAAGCAGAAATTAGCACAAAAATTAGCTTAAAGTAGCTAAAATTTTAAAGAAAAAAGTAGTCCAAAAGTCAGCAAGAAGCTTAACCTATGGGAAGGAAGTGAAAAGAGCTGAAATCAGCTAAAACATTTTGAATGAGCTGAAAAAGCTAAAATTTGCATAAAAACAGCTAAATTGCGGCTGAAATACCAGAAAAGGCTGAAACTAGCTGAAAAAACCTGAAAGGAGCATAACGAGCTGAAATGAGCAGAAAGAAGTTAATTGAGCTGAACATATTAGAAATTACCAAGAAAAACTTGGATTAATCTGAAAAGAGCTGAAATTAGCTATTTTTCTCAAAAGGAAGCTGAAAATGTAGAAAAGCTTAAATTAGCAGAAGAAAGCAGAAATAACACGTTTGACTGAAAGAAGCAAAAGTGAGCACCAAAAAGTGGAAATTATCGGAAAAAAGCTCAAATTAGTAACAAAAAAAAAGGATGAAAAGTAGCTAAAAAGGCAGAAAGAAGCTGAAATTACCAGAAGAACGTGGAGAGAGAACGTTGTTGATGAATTAGGCTGAAAAAGGTTTAAATGAGTGCAAAAAATATGGAATTAGATGAAAAAACTTAAATTAGCATAATAACAGCTAAATAGTTGCTGGAATAGTAGAAATGAGTTAGAAGAAGTACAAAAATGTTGTAGTTAGCAGAAAGAATCTGAAAAGAGCACAAAAACAGCTGAAAAAACAACTGAAATTAGCTAAAAGTAGCTGAAACTGTTTAAATTGGCACAATTGGAAGCTGAAAGAAGCTGAAGCAGAACAAAATGTGTAAAGAGCCGTAAAAGGTTGTAAACAGATCTAAAGACTTGGATGGAAAATAAGCTCAATTCATTTTCTATGAGGAAAAAAATGACAGAAAAGGTTAAATGTTTCAAAAAGCTAAAGTTGCACCAATACAAAAAAGCAGGATTGTCCTGAAAGAGCTGAACGTTTTGATGTAAGATTTGTAGAAATAGCTTCAAAACTGCGGGACGAGAATCACGCCAACAAATGTATGGAAGAAAAATGGATCACAATAGTGTGATTGCTTCGTAAGCGTTCACACAATAACTACAGTAAAATATTTTCTGCCTCAAACACATACTGTGTGTGTAATGATCAGGTCGTCACTCACCTAGACACTTTCAGCGTGCACTGACTCACCGCATGAACAGACAATGGACTGCGCACACACTGTCCATTCTGTCAGGCTATTTCTATCTCCTAACTGCTCCAATCGAAGCCAGTTCCAAGTACAAAAAGCAGAATAATGAAAAGCCCACTGAGAGAGATGAGAGAGCAGTGGAAAGGATTAGCTTGTGATGTGGGGTCAAACACAACATTTGGGAGGTTATAAGCCTCCAGCTTTAGCCTCGATGTGTTCTTACACTGCAAAAAGTACACATCTAAAAATAAGTAAAAAAATACTAGATAATAGTCTGAATCATCTCAAATTAAGTGAAATAATCTGCCAGTGCAGTAAGATAATTGCACTTGGTAAGATTTCTTGAAATAAGTAAATATTTCTAGGCTTTAGACAAGTGAGACATGTCTTAAAACAAGTTGTAAAAAACTCATTACAAGTACTTTATGAAGTAAAATAAACTCAATACTAGTCTGTTAATGCTTCTTTCAGTTTTCATTTTTTCTCACTTTGACAGAAAATATCTTAAAACAAGGCCAACTAAACAAGATGGATCTTCTGGAATTAAGAACTATTAATAGATTTTCCATCTTAAAACAAGACAAAGCATTTACACTAAAATAAATCAGGCATATTGTGTACAAATGACCTTTATTTAAATTGTCTGTTCAAATTGCAACAATTATTTCAATCATCGTACACATGAATGTCAAGACAAATATGGTGAACTTATTTGGTGTTCTTATCACAAATAACCAACTAACATAAAGCTACAAAATCTTCAAATTTCTTAAGCAACATTTGAGGCACTTGTTGATAGAAGAAATAAGTACTTCATATCAGATTATCAAAAAAAAAAAGTACTTCATATCAGATTATCAAAAAAAAAAGTAAGAATTTAAATAACTTCACAGCCTTCAGTTCAAAATTTTCCAACCCAGACTTGAAAGTTATTTGCACCTAACTGAAATCTCTCTACTCAATAAATCTTTTCACTCTGTCATGTCAAGACAAATTCTCAAGATAAACTTATTTTGTGTTCCTCTCAACTGTTAAACAACTAACCGGGATCCACATATAACGTTACAGACCCTCACATTTAAAAGTAGAACATTCGAGGCGCTGTGCATATATAAAAAATATTACATTTCAATGTAAATAAGTTTTCAGGTCAAAAATTCAAACACAGACCTGAAAGTTAATAACACATAAGTGGAAGAGCTCTACTTAATAAAACGTTTCCACTCTGCCATGACTCTTGTATGAGCCTGTGGTGTCTTTCTCGTGGATACTGTCCTTTAACACTTCAGTCTGAATGACAGACAGAAGGGTTGCCACACACTTTGGATAGGTGAGATGCATGGTGTAGTAGTGAGATGCATGGTGTAGTAGTATGCCATCAGATACAGCAAACCTTCACCAAGGTCTTCTTTGGCAAATGTGGTGAAGGGAGTGGTTCCAATGGCCAAAAGACAGCGAGACTCATCCAAGACCAAAACAGGGCTGTAGAAAGATCTCCTCTGGAGGTACACAGCTGGATCTTCGGTTGGCTAAAAAACGAACAAAAAAAGGACAAAAACCTTTATTCAGGTTACAACAAATAAACTGAAACGCTACCAGATCAGTTCAAATGCTTAGGCACAAATCTGTACTGT